ACACAGCACCCAGACACAGCACCCCCAGACACACACAGCACCCCCAGACACACACAGCACCCCCAGACACGGCATCCCCCAGACACACACAGCACCCCCAGACACAGCACCCAGACACACACAGCGCACCCAGACACACACAGCGCACCCAGACACACACAGCGCACCCAGACACACACTGCACCCAGACACACACTGCACCCAGACACACACTGCACCCACAGACACACACTGCACCCAGACACACACTGCAGCCACAGACACACACAGCACCCCCAGACACACACAGCGCACCCAGACTCACACAGCGCACCCAGACACACACAGCGCACCCAGACACACACAGCACCCCCAGACACACACAGCACCCCCAGACACAGCACCCCCTAGACACACACAGCACACTCCCACACATATACAGCACACACATATATATATATATATATATATATATATATAAAATAACCCTCAGTGAGTTAACAGACAAAGAAAATTAGAAACCTAGAATGTGACAGCAGATAAAAACACCCTCACACACAGCACTCCTCTTACATACACACACTGCGCCCCTCACACATACAATAAGTCCAAATATATATATATATATATATATATATATATACATACACACACACACACACACACTACAGCACCCCTCACACTGCACCACTACACACATTACGCTTCAGATACACACTAGATCCCTTACTCTATATGCACTCTTTATCCTCTATACACACACACACACACACACACACTGGGTCCTTTACACAGTAGATCTCCTACACACACACACTACATTCCTTGTCAGCAAACACATACAACATTCTCTAAACACACCCTCTCTGCAACCCCTACACACACTACATCACCTATACACACACACACTTCAGCCCGTATGCACACACTCGCTGCATCCCCTATAAAACTATGCCCCCTATACACACACTCTCTACAGCCCCTAGGCACACATATTACACCACAAACACAAATTAAATTGACCTATTTACACAATACCACACCACGCTCTACACACACGCAAACCCACAAGCAGGCTCCAAACATATGCACCGTGCACTTTCCTGGCCCTTTTGTCCTCTGGTATCCCACTGGTGGAGACACCAGAGACAATTTAAAAGCAAACACAGCACAAGCATGTTATTACATTTGCTTGCGCTGCGCAGAACAAATTCAGGGCCTTTTTCTAACGCCAGAGCTCTTCAGCAGGGCTCTGGGCATTGAACCAACATGCTCACTTTGAGAGGGGGCATGTTGTCATTAGTGATGACAAAACACACACTCTCTGGCCCCTTCTTAGGGGGCCGCTCTGATTGAAAAATGCCCGGGCCTAATTTTTTTCCCAGTCCGGCCCTGCTCAGCAGTGTGTATTTCTCTGTATTCAGCAGTCTGTGAGTATATTCAGCACTTTGTGTGTGTTTTCAGCAGTCTCTGTGTGTACTCAGAAGTGTGTCTGTGTGCGTGTGTGTGTATTCAGCAGTCTGTGTGTGTGTATTCAGCAGTTTGTGTGTATATTCAGCACTCTATGTGTGTATTCAGCAGTCTGTGCTTGTCTATTCAGCACTCTGTGTGTGTTTTCAGCAGTCTTTGTGTGTGTATTCAGCAGTCTGTGTGTATTCAGCAGTCTGTGTATGTGTACTCAGCGTGTGTGTACTCAGCAGCAGGCCGCGATGGCCGTGGGGCCGAGGCTGGCAGGGGAGATCACAGAATCTCCCCGGCTGGCCCCTGCAGGGCCAGCGCTATCCGAGCGCCGGCCCTGCTGTGTGCCTCCGTGGGCCGGTGGGGAGATCAAAGATCTCCCTCACCGGCCCAGAGGCATGGAAATGCGGCCGCCGGCTGGGTGAGGGAGGGAGGGAGGACCCGGCGGAGCTCTAACAAGCAGCTCCGCTGGGTCCTCTCGCGGGATTCTGAGCGTTGCCACGGCAACGATCAGATCTCGCGAGAGTGAACTCTAACCTGCAGGTTAGAGTTCACTCTCACCACTGGGCCACCAGGGAAGGATGGCAGAACGGCTCCCCTCCTTCCATGGCAGAATGGATCTCCTCCTCCCCCCCCCCCTCCCAGGATAAAGGTAAGAAGGGAGGGGGGGAAATAATTTTTTTAAATAAAAAATACATTCCTCACACACAGCACCCCAAGGCACAGCACCCCCATACACAGCCCCAGACACAGCACCCCCAGACACAGCACCCCCGAACACACACACAGCACCCCCCAGACAGACACAGCACCCCAGACACACACACTGCCCCAGACACACACAGCACACCCAGACTTTACACTGCACCCAGACACACTACAGCACACGGGCGCACACACTGCACCCAGACACACACAGCACACCGGGCACACACTGCACCCAGACACACACTGCACCCAGACGCACACACCCCCCAGACACACACTGCACCCAGACCGCGCACACTGCCCCAGACGCACACAGCACCCCCAGACACACACAGCACCCCCAGACACACACAGCACCCCCAGACACACAGCGCACCCAGACACACACAGCGCACCCAGACTCACACAGCACCCCCCAGACACAGCACCCCCTAGACACACACAGCACCCAGACACACACAGCACACTCCCACACATATACAGCACACACATATATATATATAAAATAACCCTCAGTGAGTTAACAGACAAAGAAAATTAGAAACCTAGAATGTGACAGCAGATAAAAACACCCTCACACACAGCAACCCTCTTACATACACACACTGCGCCCCTCACACATACAATAAGTCCAAATATATATATATATATATATATACACACACACACACACACACACACACTACAGCACCCCCACACTGCACCACTACACACATTACACGCCCAGATACACACTAGATCCCTTACTCTATATGCACTCTTATCCCTCTATACACACACACACACACACACTGGGTCCTTTTACACAGTAGATCTCCCCACACACACACACACTACATTCCCTTTGTCAGCAAACACATACAACATTCTCTAAACACACCCTCTGCAACCCCTACACACACTACGTCACCTATACACACACACTTCAGCCCGTATGCACACACTCGCTGCATCCCTATAAAACTATGCCCCCTATACACACACTCTCTACAGCCCCTAGCCACACATATTACACCACAAACACAAATTAAATTGACCTATTTACACAATACCACACCACACTCTACACACACGCAATCCCACAAGCAGGCTCCAAACATATGCACCATGCACTTTCCTGGCCCATTTCTCCTCTGGTATCCCACTTGTGGAGACATCAGAGACAATTTAAAAGCAAACACAGCACAAGCATGTTATTACATTTGCTTGCGCAGCGCAGAACAAATTCAGGGCCTTTTTCTAATGCCAGAGCTCTTCAGCAGGGCTCTGGGCA